AGATTCTGACTTGGAACTGTGAGATCATGATCTGAGTCTCTGAAACTCAAGGAACCCCAAGATCATGACTTGAGCTGAAATCAGGAGTCAGACACTCAATCGACTGAGCCACTCAGGCTCCCCATTTGGCAGTGGTTTTGAGAGCTAGCTCAGTGTGCACACGGATGACGGGAGAGAACAAGATGGGATAGGCTCACCCTCTGTTAAGAGGCTTAAAGTACAAGAGGGGAGAATCAAGAGTTGTGCAAGCCAGGACACACCTGAAGCAGTTGTTGGAATAACAAATGTTTCCTGAAGAGGTCTATAGAGTTATGTTGCATGTCTACAACTATAGATATAACCAGAATGGCTTCCTGGCTCTGGGCCATGTGGCATCCAGAGGTTGGCCAAGGGCTAGGATCTGCAAAGGAGATTAAAATTCAAGGCAGCAAGAAGCAAGGTTGGGGATCAAAGGCAGGAGCCTATTGGGTCCACCCTTTGAGCTGGGAATGCTGAGCCTTAGGGAAGGGGGCTACATAGACACCCAGGGACCATAGTGAAGGCAGAAAAGGGAGGTAGGGGTCCAGCCACCAACACTGGGTCATGAAGCATCCATCCTAGGAGAAAGGCCATATTGTCCCTTGGTCCATGCCTTCCATGTTCAGGGGTGAAGCCTGTGCTGCACCGGCACATGGTGGCTCACAAAGAGGTAAAGAAGCAAAGGTAGGAAAATGAAGTGGGATGTGGATTTTTTTTTAAAGCCCTCACACCCCCTGAAATTGTACATAAATGATGCATTTGGTATAAAAGTCTGATGAAAAGCCCCAGGTCATCAATATCTAGTGGCCTATAAATAACCCTAAAAGAGGATTTTGAAAGATTGCTTGGTTCAAGTCTACACCTTCAGGCAGGATCACGCTCCCAAGAAGATGAAAATAATCTATCCATATTATCTACTTTTTTCATAAATTATAGAACTCCATGTCTGTATCTTAATTCAGCAAGGCTGGAGTATTCCCTGAGATCTAATATATGAAGCTGTAGATCTAATTCTCCTGAAGTTCTTTCAAAATTTATTTCTCAGCTCAGTATATCTGTTGTATCTATTTTTGCTTAGGTTGGCAGATGCAAGATTTTAATATTTCTGTAGCACCAGTGGAGGAGATGAGACATGGAGGAACGGTGAGGCTTTGCCAAGGTCATGTGGAAAACCATTGCTCAAGTCAAGGACTCAAGTTCTAAGCTTCTGGTTCATGACTCTATCTACTATGTAATATAGTGTTTGGCTAATATGAGTCACATAGAAGGCCACACGAATTTTAAAAAGAGGTAGAGAGAGGAGGATGGGCAGGAGGGAGCTTGGAAAGTTTGGAAGGAGTGCATGAGAGGAGCGTGTGTGTGTGTGTGTGTGTGTGTGTGTATGTGTCTGTGTGTGATCACTGTTCCAAACAATGATTCTCAAACTTGACTACCTATTGGAACTACCTGGAAAGGTTTAAAGACCACCCACTTACTGTCCTTGTCCCTTGGGATTCCAAGATGAGGTTCAGGGAGTCTTTGCAATCCTTGGTCTGATGGCTGGGTCTCTGGGGACATCCACTGCCCCAAGACAATGGATGGGGCTGGGAGCTGCGGTCCCAGGGCCCAACTGCTGGGGATGATAGAAGGAACATTCAGTGCCTGAGTGCCTGTGCAGCTGGACCCTGAGCAAAATGGAACCAGAACTGTGTGGGGTGCACCCCAGGATGCATGATGGGCAACCCACAGGTCCTGATTTCCCACAGCTGCTTGGTTCTCTCTCTATGGCCACGCTCAACCTCACTTTGTATTTAAAACAGACAGCTCCACAACCCATTGATCGGGGATAACTGTGCATGAAAGGCATCCTGGGGAAATCGTCAGGGTTAGATAGCATGCTACATGGCAAATACTGATCTAAGTCCCCTTAAGATCCTTCTACTCTTTCCCTAAAAGTCTTCTCCAGCACTTGCTACGGCATCTGCATTAGTTTGCTCGGGCCCCCAAAACAAAGTATCACAGGCTGGGTGGTTTCAACAACAGACATGTATTCTTGTACGGTTCTGGAGGCTGGAAGCTGGAAGTCCAAGACCAAGGGTTGGTTTCTTCTCAGGCCTTTCTCCTTGGTTGGTAGATGGCCATCTTCCGTCTGTGATGGGTCTGTGTCCTAATCCCCTCTTCTTATATGGACACCAATCCTATTTGATGAGGGCCCACCCTTATGACCTCCCTTTAGCTTACATAACTCTTTTAAGACTTTATCTCCTCTATCTCTAAATACAGTCACATTTTGGGATGCTGGGGAATTAGGACCTCAATATATGAATTTTGGAGAGGACACAATTCAGCCCGTAGTGTCATCCAACCTCTCTTCCATAGCCTTTATAACCCCCTGATTTGTTCCAAACAGATTGTACACTCTACCTGGCAAAGCCACAGCCCAGCCCGGGCACCAGTTCTGGCCCCTCCCCTGGAAACGCTAGCAGGGGTTCACTGCTCCCCAAACGCCAAACTCTTGCAAGTCTCTATGTGCACCTGTGTCACGAGAAAATTCATGTCCTCACTACAACCAGGCCAGCAGAGCACCATCCGGTTCTCTGTGTCTCCTCTCTTTGTCCCCTCTGCCTGAGCATAGGCTACAAAGCCACACGTGGGACCCTGCCAGGGTTGTCACTGAGAGGCGTCACTCTCCACCTCCAAGCACGGGGTACTCACAATCCCCAGCCAGACAGGCTTTCCCTGGGAAAGGTGTGGTTGGTTTTGCTGTTCATGCAGAGAAGCAAGCCCTGTCCCTCTTCCTCTGGTCAGCTGCACCTCAGCAGACCCTTCCTCCTCTGTCTCCCACTCCCAACCACTGGGGGACCCTGAAGGCATCCTGTCTGGCCCCTCCCATGTGTGAAACTCAGGACAAGGAGGGGAAAGGGGAGGAAAAGAGCGAGGAGGATGCTGTCAGAATGTGCTGGCAGGCAGCTCCTTTGTTTGCCAAAGATTCATGTGATTGGGATATACAAATGTGTATACAGTAAAACCTTGGATTGCGAGTAACTTGTTCTGTGAGTGTTCCTCAGATGTGCAAGCATTTCTAGTAAATTTTACCTTGACAGGGGTGCCTGGGTGGCTTAGTCGGTTAAGCGTCCGAGTGGCTTAGTCGGTTAAGCGTCCGACTTTCGCTTAGGTCATGATCTCGCGGTTCGTGGGTTCGAGCCCCGCGTCGGGCTCTGTGCTGACGGCCAGCTCGGAGCCTGGAGCCTGTTTCAGAGTCTGTGACTCCCTCTCTCTCTGACCCTCCCCTGCTCATGCTGTCACTCTCTCTCTCTCTCCTAGAAATAAATAAAACATTAAAAAAAAATTTTAACTTGACAAACAAGCGATGTCTTGTAATACGAATTGTACGTGATGCCGAACGTCACATGATCACAACTGAGCCAATGGTTCTTGAAATTCGCTTTGATATACAAGTGCTTTGGATGACAAGCGTGTCTCCAGAATGAATCGTGCTCCGAAACCAAGGTTTTTACTGTATATAGGTTCCATTGCTGTTTCTCTGTGAAATAAGAGTCATTATAATGAATATACCTATCTTCCCATTGAAAGGGGGACTTTCTATGGGAAGGTAGACACATTCCCATATAAAGTGGCTATAAATTAAGATTGGCTCCTGCAAGCCTTAGGAATTTTATGTTTCTTGTTGCTTTTTATTTGTGGTCACTCAAGTTCGTGTGGTAGACGCAAGGGCTCTGAGCCCAGGCTCCCAGCCTCAGCCTCCATAGGCTGCCTGTACTCGCTGGTACCCATTGAGGCTGTGTGGCTTTTCTCTCACTCCCTGAAGTGGACCTGTGAAGGGAGTTGAAAGGAGAGGCCACCGTGGTGTTGGCCAGATAGAAGCCAATGGAGGGAATCAGAGACGGGCCCGAGCTCAGTGTTAATTCATCATACAGCTATTGACGGAGTCTCCCCATGTGTGTGAGGCTCCCGTGGGGCATCTGAGGACTGTAATAAGTACCCAGTTTCTCATGTATTTACCCACATGGTAGCTGTCACTTGGATGTGCTTCTGTCTCCAGTAGGTCCTTTGAAGAGTTACTAGTCATCATTTGGGGCATCTGCCATGACAGGGCATCACTGTCCGAGAATCCTGCTAGAACCCCGGGACGGGCTGGAGCTGATAAGCTGTAGGAGGGTGTCCTGACCAGCCTTGGGCCAAGGAGACAGGCAGCGGCATGTACCTCATTCCCTGCATTGGCCATTACCCCGGTTGTGAAAGTCAAGGCTTCACTTGGGTGCCGTGAAGGCTCTTCAGGGTCTCACAAGTCCAGGCAGAAGGACTGACCCTCTTTACAGAGAAGCGGGACCAGCTGCAGCAGTGAAATCTTTAGCAGATTCCAAGGTCCAGCCCACATCTCCCTCCGGATGCTGGTGAAGTTACGACAAAACAGATAAGGATGGAGACTTCCTCCCTTGTCACAGCGTGACTCTCCACGTCGATGTCCCAGCACTGCCATCACCTCTTGCCAAGGGAGGAGGTGCCCGGGATAGGCAGCCTGGCAGATTTGTTGTCGGGGCGGGAGCCGTGGAAAATGTTCTCCTGAAAGTCTGGGCACTGTGCCACAGAGAACAGGGGAAGCCGCAGCTCCTGGGAAAACGAGGGGGGTAGGAGAGAGAGCCCGGGCTGGTGTTTCCAGAACTGCCCTTCCTCCAAGAAACAAACGTTCTTTTCACTGACGTTGAAAGTGTATTTTCCATGAATCTCAATCTTGTACCCTTGAAGTGGTAAACAATGGCAAACCGGCGATGATCTCTGTACCTCTGACTTTGACCTTTAAAGAAAAAAAATCCAGCAGCTCTTTCTTTCCCCCTTGGCAGAATTTGGAGCCGAGACCCAGCTCACTTCCCATCTGGCTCCGCTAGGTGGCCCCGTGTGCCCTCGGATGTCTGTGAGGCGTGCAGACAGGTGAATGAATCTCATTGGCTTACGGGAGGCATGATGCCACCGGGCAGCCCTTTTTAAGAGAAAAGCCAGGACCGGTGGAATAGCGACCCCTGAGCAGCGTTCTGGGTGCTGAGCACAGTGCCGATCACAGATCACAGGGATCCTGCAGCTGCCGCGTTACAGCAACATGAGCGAGGTGAGTGGCCCTGCACTTGGAGAGGCAGACTTAGGGGTGAGAAGTGAGCTGGCCACAGCTGGCCTCGGGGAGACGTGAAGTGCCTCCGAGTGGTGGTGAAGATCAAGCCGATAAGCCCTGTGACTATTTGCTTTGAGGGCTGACGCTGTTGCTATCTTGGTTTGCATGGCAGGCTTAGCGAGGTTGGCTAAGTTTGCAACTTTTAAAAAATTCGCCTTGGGAGAAAGGAGTGAATTGTTTGCTTCTGATTTAATCGTGACTTTGGGAAGTGCTTTGGGTTGGATGCCTCGGGAGAGGACGCCGATGGTCTCAGCCTCTCCGGAGGTTTGCTCTGCTTCCCGCCTGTCCTCACATGTTTCCTTGGTGGACGGCTTTCGGGACACTGGCAAGCGGGCCAGCTGGTGACAGTCAGCCTTGGAAGAGAAGTGTGGGAAGGGTTGCACGGCTCGGCCGCACAAACTACATCTGCAGTTAGGCAGGGCTCCAGTAAAAGAGGCAGATCGCTCGAACCATGAAAAAACCTGTGTGTGTGGGATTGGGATTCGGGACCGGAGACACTTTGACACAACAGCAGCTACGATTTTCGGCCGCAAGCCCCTTCTCTGAATATGTTTATGTAGAAGGTATTTTGTTGGGGGCATTTTACTTTAAAAAGAGCATGCTCTCTTTCTTTTAAATGAGGCAGGTTTGGGGTGGTACAAACCACCCTCTAATTGAGCTCAGTAATGGAGACAAGTCCACTTTCATTTCCTTTTGGTCGGCACTTAAATAATTACTTTTAAAGGTTTTTTATGGTCTCTGTCTTTTTTTTTTTTTTTTTTTTTTGACAGATGGGTGATCCTTTTTTTGGAAGTCTAGAGTAAAATTAACGACTTCAGAAATAAGATGCGTCTTCGCTGCGTTTGTCTCTCTGATGGGTGACTTTTGACATAAACATGACAGGAAGACGGAGGAGGCAAAGCGTAGACGGTTTAGGAATGCGGTTTGGGACGGAGCCAAGGGCCCGAGTGAGGAAGGGGGCAAGTGTGTGGAGAAAGAAGGGAAGGCTGCAAGCCTCTCAGCCACAGATAAGGCTGGGGGGCTCCAGTAATGCCAGCGCACCTCACTTTTGCCAGTCCTCAGCCCCCAGCTTGGCATCTAGTACTCCATTTGTGTTACCTTATTTGCCTCCTAAATCCCGTGAGGTAGGTGCTAGTATTTATTCCCAATTGACAGATGCGGAGACTGAGACCCAGAGAAGTTCAAGGTCAGCCGGTTCAAAGTTGGTGGCTAGTGAAGGGCAGGGCTTGGGCCGTATTGCTGGGTGGCTGGCCACCCAGGGGATCTCTGTGCACAGGGCGTTCTCTGAGCACTGGGCGCCGCAGAAGGGTCAGGAGGAGTGTGGGGGGCGAGGAAAAGGAAGTTGGGGCCTGGACCGGAGACAAGGCAAGGAGGACCAGGCCTCTGTGTCCTGTGACCTGGTGGACACACAAGACTTCAGCTCCCTGTGCTCACGACAAGAAGCCATGGCTGGCTGTGGGGAGTGGGTTTCCCAGAGGAGGAGTCAGAAAGCAGTACAGCACTGGGGGCCCCTCTTTGATAGTTAGCTACCCCGGGTTCTCCTGGGGTTGTGGTGTTCCTGCCGGGTCCCCTCAGGATGTCACCCCGTCTTCAGCTGGAGCTGATGCCGGGCGTCAGACACGAGCCTTCCCGAATGCCTGTGCTCAGCGGTGTTCACCTCCCTGTGGGTCCCCGGGGAGAGAGCGAACGTCCCACAGCTCAGCCCACGATTAGGGTCACAGCCTCATTTCTGCTGAACATAAAATGAGGGCACCTTTGCGCCTGCCCCCTGCCCCCACCTCATTCCATCAACCAACTTAGCAGCCCACTGCAAGGGCTTCCTTCAATGTTGATAAAATCCCGCAGGGGGTGCATCGGGCTCCTTTGCTCCCACGACACCCCTTCTGGCTCCTTGTACCTTTCTCCGTCTTGTCCTTCTTGCACCCTGTCCCCCTCTGCTACGTGCAGCCCTGGTCATCTGGCCACCAGCTGGGTGACCGGCTCTCTGCCTGATCCCCAAGTTTCCGGATGTGTGTCCCTCAGAGAGTGGGAATTTGTCCTTTTGCTAAAACTTAAATCTGCTTAAAATATTTAATAAAGTCAAATAGACGCTCCTTTCTGGGTAGAGAACTGAATGTCCCCCTCAGTCCAAAGCTGTCCCCTGGTTGGATGAATTACATGTGGCTTCTTGTTTTAATAGCTCTCAGGCAGAGACTGGTTTCAGATGACCGTTTGCTTACCTGTGTAGCTAATTGCTGTGGAGGGCCAAAGCCATGGGTTTTGTCAGACTTTCCTCTGACTTTGGGATTTGCTGGAGTCTGGTGGGCAAAGAGCTGCCAGGGCTTGGTGCCCGCTGCGGAAATCCCTGAGCTCACAGCTGCTCCCCTGGGCCGTGCTGGAGCTGGGCTGGGAAGAGAGGCCCCCAAAGGGGCAAGTGCTTCCCGGGTGGGCCTTGCCCCTCCAGGCCTTCTAGCCTTTAGGGGGAAGGCAGTGAGACGTGGGGACTTGGGGGACAGAGCCTGGAGCTGGCTCTCAACTGGGTGACTCTAAGACCCAGTATCTTCTCTATCTCCGTGGCAATGCTTGGCGGGGGGCCAAGGGGATTGAGAAGAGCAGCTCTGATATAACGAGGGGAGTCAAACCCAAATTTAGGGCACCGAGAGAGTGGAGGAGGTTTGTGGGGGTGCCTCATTTACATTTCGGTATTAAAGTATGTCAGATGGGCCTGGAGGTAATTTAGCAGGAATCAAAATGCAGGTTAAGGTGTATTAAATGGATCAGAAATCCTAACCACCAAAATCAAAGTTTACAAAGTCATTCTCTTCTCTGACTGGACCCCTGCACAGAGGAAGGACGAGACTTCCTTTGTTGAGCCACCAAATAGAAGTCCCGTGAACACTGACAGTGAGTCCCATTTTCTCATCCAGGTGTGTGTTTTTAAGTTGCTTTTCAAATTTTTTTAATGTTTATGTATTTTTGAGAGGGGGAGAGAGAGAGAGAGAACGGGGGCAGACACACACACACACACACTCACACACACACACACACACACAATCCAAAGCAAGCTCCAGGCTCTGAGCTGTCAACACAGCGCCCTATGCAGGGCTCAAACCCACAAACCATGAGGTCATGACCTGAGTCAAAGTTGGATGCCTAACTGACTGAGCCACCCAGATGCCCTTTAAGTTGCTTTTCAAAAGAACTTATTTAGGAGAGCCAGGAGCAAGATATTCATGCAATAAAGGCTAACATTTGGAGAATCAATTTGAAAAATGACACCCACCATCACACTATTTTCGAAGGAGTGTGTGTGTGTGTGTGTGTGTGTGTGTGTGTGTGTTCCTGTTGCGTAATGTACTAGTTGACAGCTATTAATTAGACCTGAGACCCCTTTGGGAAAGCATCCTCCTAACTGTCACTACTCTTTTCTTGCATCGGCTTGGAGGGGATGTTGCAACTGTGTGCCAGGGTTCTGAGCCTTTCTTCCATGAGACGTTGCCCACAAAAGGACTGTGCCTGTCAGAGGCATGAAGGGAATACACTGGGGACATTTAAGGGCAAATCTTTAGACTCACATGCCTGTCCTTAGCACAGAATCAGAAGCTACTGCCTACACATTAAATCTCTAAAGAACGAAGAGAAGAGTGAACAACACTGGAGAGAGATGTGCAAGGGGAGGGTATGCTCACTTAAATCTTGGGATGGGGGCATAGAAAGGAGAGGACTTTTTTTTTCTTTTCAAAAGAAGCCATCGCTTGGGGCTTACCGCGGGAGCTGTTGGGAGAAGCCACTGCTAAGATAAATAGTAGGAAACAGAACTACAGTGAAAATTGTCATAGTTGTGTGCTTCTTATGATGTCATAGTAAACCGAGCGGATGCTGCTGGACAGATGAGCAGGCTTGCAGACAACTGTGTGGGGTAGACCAGTTGCACACAGACTCTGAGCGGAACTGCATAAAATATGGATTTTACAACTGGCCCCAAAGGCCTGGAAATAGGAGGCCAAATGACAGTTCTATTTCTTCTTTAATTTTAACCTCATCTGGGGATGTACCAGTGGCAGAGACACAGGAAGATCCAGCAAGATCCACACGGGGTTTTGTTTTTGTTTTTTTGTTTTTGATCACACCGACATACGCACTCTCTCTGCTCTAACTGGGGATGGTTGGTGTAGGAAGACATCAATTCCAAGCTGGGTTCCAAAGTCAACTCTTCTGGGGTGGGAAGAGGTCCCAGTTCAGCCTGGAAACGTGTTTGCTGGGCTGCTGGTTGTAATGGATTGCCATAAACTTTGTTCCTATGATCCTGCATCTCATTATCCAATGGTGTGTGGTTAAGAAGGCTCACTGTTTTCCTCTTTTGAATTCTAAGAATGACAGTATGCAAGATGTATTTTTTTCTTTTTTGGAGGAAAAGAAAATTGAATCAATGACTCACAATTGATTTTATTAAGGGTTCAGTTGAATAGTGTGATCAAGATGAAAAGGAAATATGGGTTTTTGTCATGGAAAGTGCCTTGAATTTATGATGAATACGTTCTCGGCATTTTTAAAAAAATTATAATTTCTACCTCAGTGCTTCATTAGAGGTGTTGTTAGAGGTGGAAGGCATTCACACTTCATCTGTGGGCCTTCTGTCTCAGTGAACTGGGTGCCCTGTACGATTTGAATACCTGAACAGTATCCTGAGTCCAAGCCTGGGCTTTTCCTTAATTTAGAATGGCTTTCTAGAAAGGGCTTCTCACAGGGGGGGAAAGAAGGACTTTAGGGGATGCATGTGCATAGATTTATGTAATATTTAATAGTTTTATAAAACACAGCATTAAAGCTCATGCTGTTATTGTCTTGGTCTGTTCAGGCTGCTAAAATAAAGTATTACAGATCGAACGGCTTATAAATCATAGGAATTTATTGCTCACGGTTCTGAAAGCTGGGAGTCTGAGATCAGGGAGCCAGCATGA